GAGTGTCATACGGAGAAATTTAATGTGTGGTGCAGGTGGCGATCCGGGCATTTTCGTCTTATTTCCATTATATGGTTTCACATTCCATTGCTGATTCTTAATGCGTCCGTTGCCAGTGTGTCATAACAGCTGCTTCACGTCGCATTAGAGAGTGTATTGCTGGCGTAATTTTTAAGGAGGGAAATTTCACTTATTTCTTACATGATAGATACACATTAGAGGCATCTGTCCAAACTGTGAACATACTTTTTACACTGAGCAGTTTGAACTGTCATCTGACATGGGAGTAACATCCTTGCAACCACTTAAGAGAATGCACAAAGGGCATCTAAATTTGCCTAAATTTGCCACAAATTTACTTGTGCAAAGTTTATTGCACCGAAGGCAAAGCCCAGCCTGACCCAGCTCTGCCCAGCTCAGCCTGGCCTGTTTTGGTCAAGCATATCTGCTTCATGTGATCTAGTCTAGCCAGGTTTTGTCTCTTGACAGTGTCCCAATAACATGGAATGCACTAGTTCATCATAGCACACCAGGTAACCAACTCACAATGAAAATTCCTGTGTTAAGAGTTATAGATCAAAATGTTGATCATGAATGTTAGGTGTTCAGTCTCAATACAGGCAGGGTGTAAAAATCCACTATGATTCATGAACTGTTGTAGCACTATTTGTATTGGTCATATTGTGATGTTTTGACATAACTTGTCTAAAAAAGAGATCACTGTCAGCAGTGAAAATGTCCATGACAAAGCTGGAGCTTATAAAAATGTTTCAAAGTGATGCTTCCTCTTTGCAGATAGTACCTGCCTGCTGCATAAGCTTGTGATCAGGATGGAGCAGTATGTTGGAGCAACAATAAGCCTGGATTGTGGTGCAGCTTTGGGACAATATCAGGTGTTGTGTCTGCAATAAATAATGAAGATCAGACCTTGACTATCACCAAGCCATTTAGAAATGGAGTGCCCTGCACAATGCAAGATCTGACCTTTAGGTAAGTATGAAAGCATTGATTGTGCTCACATTGGTCAGCTATTCTGTTGCACTGTCTGGTTGCCTTGTGTGAGATCATGTGGTGCTGTTGATTGGCAAGTGGAGTGTTGGAGTATATGGGTTTTTGTTGTTGACTGGGGCTTTAGGGCGTGCCGACTGAGTATATGGGTGACAGATGGACTGCACAACAGTCCATTGTATATGCTTAACAGTGGCTTGTATACTGTCCCTATGTACTGTTTTTTTCATGTGGTTAGTTGGTATCCAGTTGTGTTTTATCTGAGTAATGTGTAAGAATTGAGTGTGATGTCCCCTTTTCAGTGTCCAAGATGTAAGGAAAACTGGAGATCATCAACATTGATTCCTGATCCTTAAGTTGTTCAAACGGCAAGTGTGCCCCTCATTCAACAAAAGATCAAGGTAAATTGACACTATTCATTGTGGTTTATTTTAAAATATTTTTGATGCTGCATAAAAATTGTTTTTTAATGCTTTCTTTTGTGCAAGGCTATAGCAAATATGTTTGGATAGCTTGGCTGGATAACCCTTATATGGATAGACACCAATTTGTGCTGTCCGTAAAAAAGTAATATATATATATATATATAATATATTATATATATATCATGAGAGAGAGGAGAGCGAGAGAGAGAGACGAGGAGACCTGGAGAGAGAGAGAGAGAGAGAGGAAGCGAGAGAGAGAGAGACGAGACGGAGACGGAGACGGAGACGGAGACGGAGACGGAGGAGGAGAGACGGAGACGGAGTACGGAGGACGAGACGGAGAGGGACGGAGCACGGGAGACGGAGACGGAGACGGAGACGGTAGACGGAGTACGGAGACGGAGACGGAGACGGGAGACGGAGACGGATGACGGACGGAGACGGAAGACGGGACGGAGACGAGACGGAGACCGGGACGAGACGGAGACGTAGACGGAGCCGGAGACGGAGACGGGAGACCGGATACGGAGCAGAGAGAAGACAGAGAGAGAGTGAGGAGGTTTGCAGTGTGGATTGTACGTCTGTTAACGTTGTTTCGTGGCATTACCCTTAGGAATATTGGCGAGCAGATGAAGTCTCAGCTTACGGCGAAGCTCGAGCTCACCAAGAAAAGCTTTCAAGCGCCAAAAAGACGGATCGCGAAGCTAATGGTCAGGGTTTGTTTGTTACTCATATTGCATGACGGTAGAATGGCGTGTGGTACAATACGCACAGCCAGACAAAAATGGTACACAAAAAATGCAAAGGACATGCCACAGACGGCCACCTACTTATGCTCCACCACAATCACGCCCGCTCACACGGTCACACTACTTTCGCTCCACCAGCTAACTGCTTTTGAAAACAGCTAAACATTCATGCCCTCCACCTTCCCCCTCCCGGTCAACACACGAGGCCCCTGCACGTCCCACCCGAACAATAGAGACAGGCAGTACTCTGAACAGATTTACCGAGCCAGCGCAAGTGCAATGCCTGACAGACCCGTGTAGGCCGGCCAGAAGGGATCGGAGTCAGTCACCCCGCTGACTCCGGCGGATAATGCAAGGTATTCGTGGATTTGATGCGCTTTAACCGATATCATTGCAAAATATGATAATTCATGTTGCATTTAATGAATGTTTTTGTTCTTATAAACCCCTCTCCTTAATTTGCGGGGCCAAAGTTATGGGTTCATGTTGCTCTGGTGTCCTGGTGTTTTGTCGGAGTGAGATGGCTGTCTCCGAACAGTTTTTTGGCTATTTATAGCAACGTTTTTCGACTTAAAATGGTATTTTTCAATTAATTAATGTTTTTGTTCTTATAAACCCCTCTCCTTAATTTGCCGGGCCAAAGTTATGGGTTCATGTTGCTCTGGTGTCCTGGTGTTTTGTCGGAGTGAGATGGCTGTCTCCGAACAGTTTTTTGGCTATTTACAGCGACGTTTTTCGACTTAAAATGGTATTTTTGTAAAACCTGAATTATCAGCTTTAATTTCACATCCTTCAGTGACAAATTTAATTTGGTTTACATCCGCAGCTACCGTAACATTTTTGTACTCCGGATACCAGGAAGTAGCCAAAAATCCAGCCACATGGCGGTTCTGGATGAGTACAAATAAGTCCTTCATAATCGTGATGACCATCTCTATACAGCTTCCCTCCAAATGTTTACAAATCCATTCAAGGCATGAGCGCAAGCAGAATATTTATGCTCTTGACAAATCAGTCACGAGGAGGCGAATCATTAAAACCAATTGGAGAGTTTTGCTATGTTCAACCTCTAACCTGAGCTAGGAGGCGGGTGCAAGCCGCTGAATAGTTGAGACGTTTCCGACGCTGAATTGCGAGTGATTCTCTTATTTGCATTGCCATGATACAGTGTTGGCGCGTGGGTAGGCGGCCGTCTGCGGCAGGTGATTGGTTGTGTGGTTTTTTATGTATGTTCGTTGCATCCTCGGCAATCAATGCGGCTCATCGTCAATAGAAGGTTAAGTCATGTTCAAGTTAGAGTTTGTCCGCGTAGGGTATAGGAAATGAAAGCTTTGCTAATCTACAGACCGGTGCGATTCTGGAGCTTGTTTCTCGTTTCCCGGCATTGTTCAAAGGCGATTCCATTCAACATTCACACGATTTATTTTCACATTTCCGTACATGGTTTATCTTATACCTAGGTGGCAACACAGGCTGCTTGCTATTGGGCATCTTAGTCTGGTGCGTGCAAGATTTGTGCTCTTGCAGATATCAATACATGGCTGCTGATGGAAGCAGCAAGTCTCAGGCTGTTGGACCTTCTGGTTTTATTTTTTCCTGACACAGAGGTAAAATGAGTTTTTCCAAAAGCTGTTCTTGTTGCATCATGGTGGAGTACAAAATATTCCATTTTGCCTAGTCACAATCCTGGAGTACAAAATCTCATGGTATACATTATACCAGGAAACGTCAAGTTTTCCAACACTGCGGGGAGCGTTCGGTAACAACCGTATATGGGGGCTCTCTGACTTTGTGTTACGGTAAATGCCTGTATTTAATGTTCCGAAAGATATAAAAAACATTTGTTGTGGGACATTGGGCACGTGTTCGAACGGTGAGCTTTTACACGCTGAACTGAGCCGTGTTATACAAATACCAGTGAACGACGTGTACACGAATAGCGAAGTGGACATAGAAATTTATCACTCGCGTGATGATCACTTGAACCACTGTCAAAAGCCTGCATACCATGACATCCACAACACCAGCTACGGTAACTTCATGAATTCAACGTAAAAAAATGGACGAGAAGGTATTGAAGAGTTGAGTATTTTGAGACGTAACAGGGGTAGACGGGAATATGCTTAGATTGCAGATATTTACGGAAATCGCAAAACTAGAGATCTTATTATGAAAAACAATAATCAGGACGGGTGTTGAAGTGCACCAGTGAAGTACACAAATACTTCCCAGTAAAGTTTGCAGGCTTCGTTCCGTATCCACCATTGGTGTAACACAAACATCCTTGTCCCGACGCCTCACAATACATCCCACGGAAGTGCACCAAGAGACCACATGCAACGTGAGCTGAGTGCTTCTCACACACACCAAATCCCCAAGTGAAACCCTAGAATTTTAACATCTCCAAATGACAGAACGGAACTCATCATTCAAGAAGCTTTACTCATTCCTGACCATGCATCAGTGCTAAACAAAGTCACCAAACTTTTTATATCCCTTTGCAGCAACATCCTTAATAAATCACACCTACAAGAAGCATGTCCATGTGTTGGTGCAATGTTGATTAAGCTAGTGCTAGTCGCAAGAACTGGATCTGATTCAGAATCGCTTTTTTATATTTGGGATCCAAATCAAGCTTGACTCACGGAAATTCTGTCAGTTTTTGCCTCACTCCGAATTTTAAAAGAACCGAGGTGGGGTCTGGCGTGGAGTGGGCTCAAATATGAAGTTAACGTGCACGTTCTAGATCATTGATGACAGTCATCCCTAGCGTGATTATGCTAATTGAAGTCAATGTTTATGGTGGAAAACGTAACAATTTCATCCATTTTTGCAGGTGCGAATCATCCCAAATCGACACGTGCCCGGCAGCAGGCAAAAAATGAGCAGTGCTTTTCGACCCCGACTGACAACTTTAAAAATGAAGAATTTGACTTCGAAAAAAACTTAGCTCTCTTCGACAAGCAGGTATGTGGTTCATTGTTCAGCTATGTTACATTGCAAATGCATTGTTGCCTTTGTTATCTAACAAAAAGCATCGCAATGGCATTACATCTGGCTAAAATTCCACTTATTCCAAGAGTTGAGCTCTGAGTTAAGTTGCGTCAAATTTCAGCTGAACGAAATGGTTGCACTAAATAAATAAAAAAACTAAAAGACACGGCAATGCAGCTTGAAGTTAACACAAACAGTGAAAGCAAATCGCGAGCTGTGTGCTATTCCGGCAGGAAATTACGTCTGCCTTGGCACACTGGAATCGGTAAGCCCTGTCCCTTAATCTACGTAAGCGTCGGTGAGCGTCACGCGGCGGTCGGGCCGTTCCTTGCCGCGGCCCTGCCTGCCTGGCGGGCGCCGTTTGTGTGACGATGACGGGAGTTTGGGGGCAAGTTTTGGAGCGTTGTGTGAGGATACGGGCGTGTCGACAGGCGGTGTTCGAGGAGATCGACAGCCAGCAGCCGGACGTGGTGCGACTGGTGGACACGAACCGGCGCCGGCCGGCCGAGCGGGTCGAGGCCAAGTACCGACACGACCAGAACGTCATCCAGGCGGCGCCAGTCCGCTACAAACCGCATCGTAGTGCCGGAGACGCCAGAGGTCGAGTTCGTGACAGGTGCGCGCGCGCGCGCGCGGCCGCCTCGCCGGACTGCGTGCGGTCTGTGCTGTGTGCTGTCCGCTCGCCGGACTGAGTGCTGGACTGGTGGTGCGCTGGCGGCCGCGCCGGTTAGCGCAGCACGACCCAGATGCGGGGCCTCAGCCATTCTGGCGTGGCATTGTGCCCGAACGGTGCTCGGTGGAGACGAGAAATTGAGTTGTCACCAATTGGTTGCATTGTGAGCAGGCATTTTCGGTGACGTCATCTGTAACCCCCCCCCCCCCCCCCTCCCACAGACACGGGGCTGGTAGTGTCACCCGTGATCTCCCCCCCCCCCCACAGACACGGGCCTGGTGGTGTCATCTGTGATCGTCCCCCCCTCCCCCCCACAGACACGGGCCTGGTGGTACCATCTATGACCGCCCGCCCCCCCCTCCCCACAGACACGGGCCTGGTGGTGCCATCTGTGATCGTCCCCCCCCCCCACAGATACGGGCCTGGTGGTGTCATCTATGACCGCCCGCCCCCCTCCCCACAGACACGGGCCTGGTGGTGCCACCTGTGACCATCCGCCCCCTCCCCACAGACACGGGCCTGGTGGTGCCATCTGTGACAGTCCGGGCTCGGGACACGCTGCTGCAGACGGCGCAGCGGCACGGTCTGACAATGGGCCGCCAGCAGGAGATGCTGGGCCGCGGCTGCACCGAGATGGCGTTGCAGCTGGTCGGCAGTCACGCCAGGTACCGGCGCGTGCAGCACCGCTCGTTCGCGGGTGCTGACTCAGGCGTGCGCTGGTAGTGACAGGCGTGCATGCCGATGCTAGCGCTTAGGATTGTGGCGATAAACGATTAGCGGGCTTGTGAGGTTATGACCACTAAGTATCTAACTGCTCATTTTGTAGCTAAATGCCGGATTATGCCAAGTTTATGCCGTTTAGAATATGTGCCGGTGTAGCGGACCTAGGGATGTGTCGTCTCGGAGTTGGTGCCCATGCAGCAGTCCTAGGTGTGTCACGTGACAGGCTCAGCTGTGGGCCGTCCCCGAGCCTGTGACCGGGTCATCTGTCTCTGACCATCTCTGCCATCTGCCCGTCTATGACCAGCGCCGGTCGCCGTTACAGGCTGCTGCCTGAGAACGTGCACCAGGCGCCGCGCGTCGTCTGCCTTTGCGGCCCGCACTCGCAGGGAGCGGCAGGTACGTGCCGGTGGAGCGGACGCGCCGGCCGCACCGGCCCGCGGCCCTGCCCGCGGCCCTGCCCGCGGCCCCGGCCCCGGCTCGGCCTTCCGTTAACACGGTCTTAGAGGAGTACATAGTATGGTGCTATTAGTGCAAGGCACGCGTCCTTGCTGCTTCGGTTGACGTTGTCTTGTTTAGTTTTATTGTTTCTCTTGTTGCTTTGTTAAGGAACCCAGATGCATATAGCTCCCGGACATTTATTATTAGTACCCGAACAATTTTAAAGTGAAAGAGTTTTAATGCGCCAGAATGACGTTATTTTTGGTTAAATGCGCAAAGGTATCTCGCCTCACAGCGGGATCGCAGGTTGCGCAAACGCTCGTCGGTGTCACGCCATCTGTCGATGTCCCGTCATCTGTCGGTGTCGCGCCATCCGCCATTGTCACGTCATCTGTCGGTGTCGCGTCATCCGTCGGTGTCGTGCCATCTGTCGGTGTCGCACATCCGCCGGTGTCGCGTCATCCGTCGGTGTCGCGGCCATCTGTCGGTTTCGCGCCATCCTGCGGTGTCGCGCCATCCGTCGGTGTCGTGCCATCTGTCGGTTTCGCGCCATCCGCCGGTGTCGCGCCATCCGTCGGTGTCGCGTCAATCTGCCGGTGTCGTGCCATCTGTCGGTGTCGCGTCATCCGTCGGTTGTCGCGCCATCTGCCGGTGTCGCGCCATCCGCCGGTGTCGCGTCATCTTGCGGTGTCGCGTTATCTGCCGGTGTAGTGTTATCCGTCGGTGTCGCGCCATCTGCCGGTGTCGCGCCATCCGCCGGTGTCGCGTCATCCGCCGGTGTAGCGCTATCCGTCGGTTGTCGCGCCATCTGCCGGTGTCGTGCCATCTGTCGGTGTTGCGTCATCCGTCGGTGTCGTGCCATCTGTCGGTGTCGCGTCGTCCGTCGGTGTCGCGCATCTGCGGTGTCGCGCCATCCGCCGGTGTTGCGTCATCTGCGGGTTGTCGCGTCATCTGCGGTGTAGTGTTTTCCGCCGGTGTCGCGCCATCTGCCGGTGTCGCGCCATCCGCCGGGGTCGCGTCATGCCGGTGTAGCGTTATCCGTCTTGTCGCGCCATCTTCCGGTGTCGTGCCATCTGTCGGTGTCGCGTCATCCGTCGGTGTCGTGCCATCTGTCGGTTGTCGCGTCGTCCGTCGGTGTCGCGCCATCTGCGGTGTCGAACCATCGTCGTGTTCGCGTCGTCCGTCGGTTGTCGCGCCATCTGCCGGTGTCGCCCATCCGTCGTTGTCGCGCCATCTGCCGGTGTCGTGCCATCTGTCGGTTGTCGCGTCATCCGTCGGTGTCGTGCCATCTGTCGGTGTCGCGCCATCTGCCGGTGTCGCGCCATCCGTCGTGTCGCGCCATCTGCCGGTGTCGCGCCATCCGCCGGTGTCGCGTCATCTGCCGGTGTCGTGCCATCTGTCGGTGTCGTTGTCATCCGTCGGTGTCGCGCCGTCTGCCGATGTCGCGCCATCCGCCAGTGTCGCGTCATCTGCCGGTGTCGCGTCATCTGCCGGTTGTAGCGTTATCCGTCGGTGTCGCGCCATCTACCGGTGTCGCGCCATCCGCCGGTGTCGCGCCATCTGCCGGTGTCGCGCCATCCGCCGGTGTGTCGCGTCATCTGCCGTTGTAGCGTTATCCGTCGGCGTCGCGCCCGTCCTTGGCGTGTGGGAACGCGCCTGCCTGAGCGGCGGGGGCTGACGCGCCGGCCGGGTGCCTCGTCGCGACCGGCGCCGGCGGGCCCGACTGAGCGTGACCCGCCGCCGGCCGCAGGTCTGAACGGCGCCCGCCAGCTGACCGGTCACGGCGTGCGGGTGACCGTGCTGCTGCCGGACGTGGCGCTGACGTGTCGCGCGCCTCAGCACCGAGCTGCAGCTCTACAAGCTCACCGGCGGCCGGTTGACGCACAGCGTCGCAGGTGGGACACGCGCCGGCGCGGCTGACGCACCGTCACACGTGGGGCGCGCCGGCGTGCTCTCTGTGTCCGTCAGTTCGACGATGGCGCATATGTGTAGCTCCCTGGTTTTTCTTCTGAAAACTAGATGATTCTTTCGAATCATCTTTCGTTACATCCGGAATCAGAAGTAGGGTGAGTGGTTGTCAGAAGTGGTGTCTACTGAAATCTTGAGCACCGATTCACTACCCAGCATCGATGATACTAGTGACTTTGGTTCTGGCCGATCGTGTTTGCGATGGACGCCACCGTAATGTGTTCACCACTCGTCCCGCTGGTGCGTTGATGTGGCTATAGGCGTCTGACGACAGCCGTGGCGTGCCGCGCCGCGCTGTGGGGCTCGGCGTGCCGTGCTGTGGGGCTCGGCGCGCGCGCTGTGGGCTCCGGCGTGCCGCGCTGTGGGGCTCGGCGTGCCGTGCTGTGGGGCTCGGCGTGCCGTGCTGTGGGGCTCGGCGTGCCGTGCTGTGGGGCTCGGCGTGCCGCGCTGTGGAGCTCGGCGTGCCGCGCTGTGGGGCTCGGCGTGCCGCGCTGTGGGGCTTGGCGTGCCGTGCTGTGGGGCTCGGCGTGCCGTGCTGTGGGGCTCGGCGTGCCGTGCTGTGGGGCTCGGCGTGCCGTGCTGTGGGGCTTGGCGTGCCGTGCTGTGGGGCTCGGCGTGCCGTGCTGTGGGGCTCGGCGTGCCGTGCTGTGGGGCTCGGCGTGCCGTGCTGACGGCCATCCCGCGCCGCCGCAGAGCTGCCCGAGACGGTGGACCTGATCGTCTGCTCTCTGGACGACCACGAGCTGTCGTCGCAGCTGGCCTTCCAGCCGTGGCACCGAGCGGCCGTGGCCTGGGCCAACGGTAGCCGCGCGCCGGTGCTGGCGCTGGACCCGCCACCGGCGCCGCCCGGCCGCGCCCAGCTGCCGGCCATCGACTGCAAGTTTACACTGGGCGCCGTGCTGCCGCTGGGCTACGCGGCGCAGCAGGGCGCCGTCTATCTCTGCAACCTGAACGTGCCGACGGAGGTGTTCCGCAGCCAGCGCATTGAGTACGTGTCGCCGTTCGGACCGCGTATCGTCATCCCGCTCCACGCCAGAGACGTGGACTGATAGCCGGGGATTACAGACCAGCGACGGGAACAGGGACCATGGCATGACGACCGCAGACAGACTGGCAGAGACGTGGACTGATAGCCGGGGATTACAGACCAGCGACGGGAACAGGGACCATGGCATGACGACCGCAGACAGACTGGCAGAGACGTGGACTGATAGCCGGGGATTACAGACCAGCGACGGGAACAGGGACCATGGCATGGCGACCGCAGACAGACTGGCAGAGACGTGGACTGATCAGTCAGGGATTACAGACCAGCGACGGGAACAGGAACCATGGCACGACGACCGCAGACAGACTGGCAGAGACATGGACTGATCAACCGGGGATTACAGACCAGCGACGGGAAAAGGGACCATGGCATGGCGACCGCAGACAGACTGGCAGAGACGTGGACTGATCAGTCGGGGATTACAGATCAGCGACGTGGACAGGGACCATGGCTTGGCAACTACAAACGGACTGGCAGAGACGTGGACAGATTAGCCAGGGATTACAGACCAGCGACCATGGCATGGCAACCGCAGACGGACAGAGACGGGGACTGGCGTCGATGTGGCGGCCACGAGTGAGTGAGAGGTGGACGTGTGGCTGACTTGTGGCCATTTTCGTGACGTGGGACACACTGCTGATGGGTCGACATGGCAGTACAGCTGCCACGGGGCGTGAGGAAGGTTGTGAATGGGGCTTGTGGACGCGGCGCCGAGGACGTGTCGAGGTTGGTCCTGCTTTTGTCCAGATTGACCACGGATGTGTTTTTTATTTCCCGGGTGGATTGGTGCAGCAGGCACGGAGAACATCCACGGTCCTCCCGTTGGCGTCATGTTAACAAAAAAGGAAGTGGGCACTGTCGAGTGTGAGTCAAAGAATGCAATGCATGCGTGAGATTTCATACAAGTCATTTTCGCCGATGGTGGTGATTTGCACGTGTGTTGTATCGCTTACTCCTTGGCACATGTTTTGTACCCCGCTGCTCAAATAGGGTACTGTATGTTTATTTTTTGTCGCGATTACTGACGTTGCCCTGCTGGATGACTTTGTATGTCGTTAGTTGTTTGATAGACTTGGAATTCTAGCGATATTTTGCTGCTTTCGTTCGGCTAATACACGACATATTTACGTAAGATGTGCCATGAGGAAGAGTGAAGGTAATTTGCGCAATGGAAGGGCGTGCTGTCCTTTCTTTGCATGTGGTCGAATTAGACTCATCTAGTCATTTTCACAGCTCCACCCATATCCGTCATATGGAGCGTACCGCGGGGGGGTTTGCTTGGGAAAAGACGCGACCCCGAATGACACACTGAAAGGACGGTTACACACCGTGAGGCATGTTGCAAACGTTTACCTTCGAGCTTCAAAACGGCAAAACCCCAATCCTCTGCTGTATATTGTGGTTTCCCTTCCTGGGATCCGCGCTGCAGCGGGACGCTGTATTTGGCAATCGCCTGCGGAGATCACCCGCGCTGGACTCGCCGCCTAGCTCGGTAAACCGGTTTATCCGGACGCGTTTCTGCTTATGCGGCGGTTCCACTGCACCGTGGCTGCATGGCAGAGTGGATACCAAATGATAGACTGAAATCCTTGAGCCAAGCTTATATGCTGACGTGCATCAATCCGTGAGCTTACGTGACTGCAGGGACCGGTGGCGATCGTTCGGCCCGCGATCCCCCCAGAGGGACGATCGGCGTGGGTCTACTTCGTCTTTACGTTGTGATTATGTGCTGCAGGGCTTTTTAACGAAGCAAGCCACGGCCTAATGAAATGAAAAGCACAGGGCATGGGCATCACCACGCGCGTTATCAGTTTTTGTTTTGACGCTGATTCTGGGAGGGGGGGCGGACGAAGACGGGAGGTTTGAAGCGTATTGCTCCTTGACGACCCATGAGCGTTACGGAAGATGTAAACATATTTGCTTTGTGCGGCCACCCGACCCCATGGTGGCGCTGCCCCTGCCGCTAGAATAGTGCGTTGAAGCCCAAGGCATTGGAGCGACGTGGAAGTCGGAATGCTGTTCGCTAATTTCTTTTATTCAGCACTTTCTAGGATTGTTATTTGGTAGCACCAGATAGCGCCAGACGTGACGCACAAATTACAGTTATTTGCAAATGTGACAGCGTTATTCTCCATTCAGCGAGACAGGAAAAAATTACTGGGGAATTCTGGGTGGAGCACAGGGTGCGATCTGCGATGTCAGTTAAGGCATATCTGTCGGGGTCCTAAGCTCGGTGTCCAAGTTAGAGCTGAAGACTGGGTTCCCTTAGGTATATACAGCTTCCTGCACTGAGAAGGTATGTATCATTTTGTGGTAAAATAATACCTCAGTTGCCGAGTTCCAGTCTGCAAAAAATCCGTGGGCCTCACCGGACGTCTCGACATTGGTGCGCTGAACCTCGCACATATGTGCACCGAGCTCAGGCCAGACACAACAGTTAAAATAGAGAGGATGATTGCTGGAAATTGCCTCGGCAACATAACAGCTACTTAAAATATTGGCCTGAATTCATTGCTTAAAAATTGCTGTTGACTGCATGCCAATCTCTGAGCAGGATCAAGCTATGGACATCATAGGACATGCGCACACTAATTTTGCTGCCATGATTTTCATGGACATGCTCACCCGCAGTATGTATTTCTTTTAGTTTGATCCCAGTGCTAACTCTCGTTGCAATGCAGCATGCTTTGCAAAGTCAGGTTATATTGTGGAATGTCCATGCTTTTAGGTACAGGGTGGCTTACTTGTCATATTTTCCACTCGAATATTTTGTTGTCAAAACCACATGTTATTCTGAGATGCCTGTATTATGTTTGACTCTATCTCAGTGGACTTCCTGAGCATTTTTCACTCTATGTTAAGTATGGTGCCCTGAATCCCACACTGGCTGAAAATGCAAGCATGTCTGATATTTTATTAGGATTTTCCTTTACTATTGCTTATGGTGGTTCCAAGGACAACTGTAGCCTGACTTAACAAAGTGCATGTTAGCTGAGGATGGTTGGTGCTTGGTATAGCTATAAAATCATGTCAAACATTTTTTTATGACAGAGACAATGAGTCTTAGTTGCCACTATTTTCAGCACATGGAGAACCAAAGAATGAGGATATCACATTGGTAATTGGAAGGCAGATCTGTACTATTGGAAACATGTCGGTCACTCTGAGTGTGTTTGTCACAAGTGATGGCCTCATGCTGGCAGCTGTTTTCATTTATGCATGCTTTAGATCTAAGAGCCAGAATTTTTGTGCATAGTTGCCACCAATTTCAGTGTATAGATAACCAATGTGTCTAAGAATTATGTTGCTAAGGTAATTACTGATTGGATGCATTGATAAGGGAGTTCCTGAAATAATTTCAGGCAAGGACACCTCCAAAACACTTGTTCAGCAAACATAATTTGCAAATTCAGCATAACTTGGCCTGGCCTGAGTTCAGGACAAGCATGCTTTAGTATCTGAGCACTGATGTCATGTAAGTGCATGGTGCAATGGAAATTTTGTTTGCAGACTGGATTAACATGGAAAATAGTCATATCCACTATAATGTGGAATATTGTTTTCAAACAACAATGTTTTTCAGATTCAGATTAAGGTTCAGTCAGACTTTCAATTCAATTTGGTGCACACATGGACCAGGCTCATTGCATAAATGCCAAGCATCAGCCATAGTGAATGTTTTTGTTTTTGCTGACTGGACCTGGAGGTCTGAGAAGATGCCATCTCCTGCATCCAAAGTACAGGCAGGTGGTCTGTGACATAGATGAGGTATCTGACCATTCAAGTACTTTTGAAAGCATTGGGTCCTCCCACACT